ATGATTGAGGCTGTCGATGAGATTGGTAATGTGGCATTTCTTTTTCTTTTTTATTATGAAGAGCCTGTCGGCGTTGATTCACTTCTCATACGTGAGCTGATAGAGTGGCCCCTAAGTACTTGGATACTTAATATAATTATTAGTGATACTAAAGTGTCACTGGGCTTTGGAGATGTGCTATATAAATAAAAAGCAGTTTTCTCAACCTTTCTGACTTAAAGGCCCCCCCCACTCTCCAACACATATAAATGATCATATTTACACCAGTATGTTCTGCTGTAATTTCGACAAAACTACTTGTCTTCAGCTTTTTTATTAACATAAACTGGGAGTGACTATATATTATGAATGAAACACTAATTATTTTGTGATTCCAGACATTTCAAGAACTGGATGTTCTTTAATACAACAATAGTTCATTACTGATAAGTACATTTTGCAATAGGGGTTTAAGTCATACATTAAGCTACCGCTAAACATGTATGAATGTATAATATAATACATTTGTTTAGAAACAAAACCTGTTTCTTTTCTGTCACAGATAGAATTAAAACACTTCCAGACATAACACCAGTTCTCATCACCATTGATCCGGATAGAGACACACCAGAAGCACTGGCAGCCTATGTCAAAGGTGAGCAGGGGCCATCTTTATCACTCGACACTCACCGAATGCTGTGATATGATTCCTCGTCATTTACATTTTCAATATCTCACATGCAGAGTTTTCCCCCAAGCTGATGGGTCTGACAGGCACAACTGCCCAGGTTGACCAAGTGTCCAGAGCCTACAGAGTGTACTACAGCCAGGGCCCAAAAGATGAAGACAACGACTACATTGTGAGCATTTACCGCATAATGTAAAATATGTGCTTGAAGTTGAATGCGCCGGCCAATGTTATTGTCATTTTTGGATGTATGCTTCAGACACCGGTCACGCTGAAGGCGTTCCCCATAGTGACCTCTAGAGGACGCAGTTCAAAGTTCCCTCGAAAAGGAACGTCTCAGGTTGCGTATGTAACCATGGTTCCCTGAGAAGGTAACGAGACACTGTGTCCTCTAGTTTCCTTGCCAGCCTGCTGATGCAAGCTTCAGATGAAGAAGCGGATGACGTGTTATCCCGGCTCCCTTTTATACTGTGATCGCGCAGAGTATTGACATCATAGGCTGTCGCCGGCCAATGTTATTGTCGTTTTTAGATGTATGCTTCAGACACCGGTCACGCTGAAGGCGTTCCCCATAGTGACCTCTAGAGGACGCAGTGTCTCGTTCCCTTCTCAGGGAACCATGGTTACATACGTAACCTGAGACGTTTTCTTGCCTAAAATTAAAGGGATAGTTCGCCCAAAATAAAAATTCTGTCATCATTTACTCACCCAAAAGAAGATATTTTGAAGAATGTTTGTAACCAAACAGCTGAATAGTAGCCGTTGACTTCCACAGTATGGAAAAAAAACACTATGGAAGCCAATGGCGACTATCAGCTGTTTGGTTCCCAACATTCATTACTTGAGGGTGAGTAATGATGACAGAATTTTTATTTTTGGGTGAACTACACCTTTAATTAATTCCTAATAATCTCACAAGCCTGTACTCAGCATGCATATATCGAATTTTCCTGTAATTGCAGGTTGATCACACCATTATAATGTACCTGGTGGGACCTGATGGCCAGTTTCTTGAGTATTTTGGACAGAACAAGAAATCCGCTGAGATCTCATCATCCATTGCATCCCACATGAGGAAGTACAAACATGGAAAATAAGTCAAAGGGCACTGCTTCAACTACGACCGAGTGTCTCACAACATTGTCATTGCTCTGTGAAATGGGGTTTATTTATATGAGGTGCAACTCTCATTTTAAGAAATCAGACTTTTGAAGCATTCCCCATTTTGCTGCAGCCCAACACAGTAACCTTTGTTGATCTTTATTCATTTCCATAAGCAGTAATGAAATTCAAATGATTCAACTTCAATAAAGTATGTTTTGATTGATATTTTGTAATGCATTGCACTGATGAATTGTGTATTACACGTTGCATCACAAATTATATCATTAAATCAATTCATAATATATATTCATTTTATTAATTAAATTTATTACCAGAGTGAAGACTTTCAAATTAACAATTTGGAGGCAAAATGTTTGCATCTGACAGATGATTGACTTTCACTGCATCTTTTTACCACACAGAAAGCATGTTTCACCACTATTTTACTCAACAATAGGCTGAAGTGTGACTGTAGTCAACAAGTCTTCTATCAATCACAATCAATAAAGGACAAACAGCTTAGAAGGTTCTATCGGCATTTGACCTGTTCCAAAAATTCCCATTTACAAATTTGAGAGGATTTTGATATTGTACATTTAGAATACATTTAGAGCCTCTGTCATTTTCATGTGTGAAACAAACCTGTTCCCCATTTCATTTTTGCTATATGGAATACAAAAACTTTGAAGCTCAATATCTCAAAACCGCTCAGTGTTACAGGGCGAATGAGACGCGAGACGTGCGAATCCATTTGCAAGTTTTATTTAAGGACGTGGTCAAAACAGGCGAGGGTCAGGCAATGGCAAACAGGTATATAGAAGACAAAACAAGAGCAGTCCAGTAAACAAGCGAAGGGTCAGTTGACGGCGAACGTAATCCAACAGGGCGAGACTAGAGGAATAATCCAGGTACAAGGCAAAGGTCAGAAGACGAAGAAACACAGACAAGGCAAGACTAAGCTAAGACTAGGAAACTTCAAGCAGGCTCAGTAAGGTAGCTATAGCAGTGATGCACGCTAAACAATACTGGCCGATCGGTCAGGAACTGAGTGGGTGTTATGTAGTGTGTGTGATTGGTCTCAGGTGAGCGTGTGATTAGTGAAATGGTGCATGGGAAATGTAGTCCGTGGTGACGTGCAACAGTCAGTGTAGTGAGAGAGTCAATATGATGGACGAGTGACCTCTGATGGCGATCGGATGGACGTCCACGGACCGGATTCGGGACACTCAGAATGCTGAATTGTTGAAGCATTGATCAAATGAGTTAGCAATGCTGTACATGTCCAAGTTGCAAGTCCTTAACTTAAAGTCTTAAGTCATTAGTGCTCTATGCCCACATTAGTGTCACATTACTAATTACTATTATACATTTATACTGATTTATACATAAATTGCTTCAAGCAGTGGTTGATGATGTCTGAGCGCCAGCTGCTTTACCATAGAGCCAAGGAAGGTCACCCCCATGGGCTCTCTAGTGTAACTAATGTACGCGAACAGACCACATAGTCGGTTTAACAGAGCGGTTCTCGTTCTCGAGTCAAGAATCGGTTGCATCGGTTTTCGGATCACCAGTACACTCAACAGAGAACCGGTTTCTTTCGGACGCATCCGATTTGAGAACCGATGAGCGGATGATACTGCGCATGCGTGAATCAGTGGGAAGCTGCTGAACAGTACATGATAGCCTGTGACACCAGTCTGAACCGAACTAGTTCTTTTGGACTACTGATTCTGTGCTAATGCTGTGAGCGCGGGTAAACCCGAGGACTTGAATGAGGGGACCAATCTGGCAAAACGCAAGTTTATTTAATAAATCGTAATGGATTATGCAAAGCATGTGGATCAAGCTTCTGCACTGAGAAAGTAATTTATTCACTTTACCTTCAATAGTTATAAAACATCCTCGTTTGCACATCACTGCCTGTACCTGTATTTGGGTAAAACTTAATTTTAAGAAACTTGTCAGATCGTGTTGATGATTTAACTGGCTAAGCAATGACTACTGACTTTATATATTTGAATATGTTGAATATATTTTCATCCCGGCCCGGGACGTTAGTCATTACGTTATTGCAAATTATGTCATTACGTTCCCACGTTTTTGAACATCCAATTTTGGTCCCCTGAAGGTGCAGACTGTGACGCCAGATGACATCTTTTTTCCAACGTCTACTGAACGTCCAGTATTGACATCTTTTCTACATCAAGCTTAAACTCATTTTAGACATCATTTTATACTGCTTATAGGCTCTGTACATAACTGTAGTCCCATTTCAGAAGATGGCACACTGTTCAAGTTCATTTTCCTATAGCTTCATTTGATTGTCTCAGCAGCAGATGATAAATGGAAAAGCATACAAAAGCGTAATGCATTTCCAATTCAATCCTGCTGCTGAGCCAAACGAAGCTACAGGAAAATTAACTGCTACAGGAAACAGGTCCTACACCTTCTTGAAACATGGGACTACAGTTATAAACAGAGGTTTACAAATAAATCACAACTCAATCACCACTCACTTATTTCCATCTTTATTGTTTTTAACTGGCACAAACGTCACTAATAAGCTTTGACTAGTAAAATTTACTGCCAACTACCATTAAATTTAGGAACATGAATTTAATGGCTTGCATACATCACTTCAATGTGGTGCATCGTAACCTAAAAACTTTCTAAAATCAACACTGGTGGTAAAATACAAAAAAAAGCTAAAATAATTAAAGTTACACAGCCCACCTTGCGTAAGTCTATACCACAACAACAAATGTACAACAATAAAAATTAAAGTGCTTAACCGAATGCATTTTGTTGAACCATAAGCAACTATGAACCATAAGCAAGTTGAACCATAAGCAACTATACTAAAAACAGGAAAGACAATGTATAAAAGATACTCCACAATGGATAATCAGTCCCGAGTGACTGCTGCGTGTCCTCCACCTCCACTTCTTTGCGGTGCATGCTTCAGATGCTCTGAAGTGGTCATCCTTATGAAGTCCTCTGTGGCTGTGTCATCAAATTTCATGACTGCATCTGCACAAGTAGAAAAAGACAAATGAGTATTCTGCAGTCATACACCAAGTCCTCATATTTGTAAGCAAAAATATGTTTACTATGCATCCACTACCAATACTGGATTAATACAAAACCACCTCACCAAATGTTAAAATTGCCATGGTAGACAGTTAACAGTGAATTTTAAATGTCAACTGGGAAGGAAATGTTTTCGACCCCCTTCTCTCATCCTTAAAGCCATCTGTAAACACAGATGTGAGCCTAAGTTTACGTACTGTTTATTTGACTGGGGCAAGTGCAAAGGAAAGGAGGATGAGATCATAACACCTTGTTTAGGTGCTCCTAAAGGGCAGGATACCTCACTCCACATCCAAAATGAAGGAGACACCGCACGCCACCTGACAGAAAGACAAAAGAAACACCCAACTAAAGCTTTTCAATACTCAATAGTATTGAGATGGTGTGGATTATCTATACACTGAAGATCAGTGTTAAACAAGTAATACTATTCAGTGTTCAAGTTAATTGAGATAAAGAAGTGATGAATTAACACCTGCTGTTAACAAACAGAATTAGGGTTTCCCTGATGTGGAAAACGCAGACAGAATTGCAGAATATGGCGCATTTTTAAAACGCATTATAACTCGTTTTGAAACTACATAATGCATGATTATAGTGTGTAACGTTTTATGATGGACGCGAATACAGTCGCGTTGTGCTTTGAACTCTCAAAGAAACAGATCAAACTACACGTTATATGATTATATTGTATATCTTGAAAAGGAATACGGTTGTGTTGTTAATCACTGAGAGATGCAATGCTAATTGTAACTTAGACACAGCAGGTTTAGTTAAGACAACAAAGCTAATTAAAACAGCTAACACTATAAATACATCAAATTAACTAGCGGACCGAACTTACCTTCAACTGAGTAGAAAACGATGATTTTGGATCGCTTTGATTTGATGGAAGCTGAACAGAGCCGAGCAGCCACTTGCTTCAGCAGTACGCGCCAAATGCTTGTTGCCTCGGCCAATCAGAGTGGCGTTTACTGCTTGGGTTATGATGACGTGGTCCCTCAGCCAATCAGAGTGGCGTTTACTGGTTAGGTTATGATGACGTGCAGCCTATCAAACGCAAGTTCCACCGCTGCAATGTTAGCTTTCGGCTAACTCAAAAGTTGGAATGCTTCGTTCCCTCTCATAGGCTCACTTCGATGCTGCGATGACGTCATCGCTTTGGGAACACCTTCGGTGTGACGAATGTCTGAAGCCCTTATACCATCACGCCAATTCATTGGCCAAATAGCACTTATCACCACCCCCAAAGCGCACGTAGGTGAGCTATATAGCGTGCTGCGCGCTATTTTCATCAGATTTAATTTCCTTTAGGAAGCGAATCATCTGTCGCCCGTAGGAAAGCAAATAAAAAAAGAAGTCGTGTTCTTAGCTATTTCTTCTAAAAGAGCAGTTTACTCCTCTTCAGCGGACACGATGAGCTACAGGAGATGCATCGAGCCGTGTGACAGGTTCATCGCAGGAGGAGACACTCATGACAGGTGCGTGCAATGTTTGGGCCTACAGCATGCCCAAGCGGCGCTTAGCGGCCTTTCTGATTGTCGACACTGTGATAGCCTACAGCTAAAAGCACTGTGCTCGAGGTTCGCGGCCTTCTCAAATAAAGTAGGCCTCGCGTCTAATCCCCACTATCCCGTTTCTGCGGTTGCCGAGGAGCCGCACGAGACGGTCGCTTGGGGTGATGCATGCGAGCCGAGGCGTTTAGAGGGCAAGTCGATGGAATTTTCTCTCGCTCTCTCCGGGCCATGTGCAAGCGCTACGGGGATCCCGTGGTCTTCGTCAATGACAATTTGCGGCCTACCCCGGAAGCTCGCGATGCGATGTCTTTCGGATGTATGCCGTATGATGAAGGCGTGCTGTCCACAGCAGCCTCCGATTCGGAGGATTTATTGGGCGAACTGTGCAGTTCTCTCCCTCCGAGTGAACAGGAGAAACGCACCTCCCCATCTTAGAGCGAACTATTAGATGTTGTAACGCGCACTGTGGATAAGCTGGGGTTAGAGTGGGATAGCGAACCGGCACAAACTCAGTCCCAGTCGAAACTGGACGATGGATTTTTGTCCAGCCGCACTCTGTCTCAGCCCCGTAGGCCTCTCCCCTTTTTCCAAGACCTCCACTACGAGGTTTCGAGGTCTTGGAAACAACTTTTTTCGGCGCGTATCACTAATCCCGCTGCCGCTGATTTCGCCACGGTTTCTAAAATGGCAGCTCACGGCTACGCGGCGATGCCGGCCGTAGAAGAGACTCTCGCGGCACATCTTGCGCCAAATTCCGCTCCGTCTTGGAAGTCACACCCTCTGCTACCGTCCAAGCCATGTAGGGTTACTTCCGCTTTGATTGGGAAATCTTACATGGCCGCTGGGCAAGCCGTGGCGGACGCCCCCATTTCGAGTGACGGTCTGTTCGGAGACTCGGTCACTGCGGTCGTGGAGAAGTTTAGAGCAGCGAAACAGCAGTCCGCTGCATTCCGTCAACTCATCCCTCGCAGGGCTAGAGAAGTGGAGCGTCAGCCACCTGCGGCTCGCTCACGCTCTTCGTCCTTACAGCACCGTGAGGTCCAGCAGCATGAGCCACCGCCTAGGTTATCCCCTCGTAAAGACTGGGGTCCTAGGTCTTGCCCACCGGCTTACACACGGCAACGCAAGCAAGTAGACCTGAGTTCGATGGCAAAGCCCTCTCGTCCTCAGGCCCCTAATAGCAGTTCCTGATTCCTCTGCTCGTCTTCGGAGGCCAGTCCCTCCTTTAGAGAGAGTGTACGAACCGCACAAGCGTATACGACTCTCTCGCTGTGGCCTCCAGACTCCGATCTTGACGGTCCCGCCACATATTGCGCCTCGGGCAGTTTTAGATCGAGTCCTTATGACAAGCCCGTCCTCGGATACACTGCGCGTTCCTGCCTTCAGAGTTTGAGAAAAAGCCCAAGGGTCATGCAAGCATTTTTTATTTTGTTTATGACGGCCTCCAAAGCTATGGGGCAATGGGCAGGCCCGACAGAACAATCGGACATCTTCCCATTATAGTTTTTCCCGCCACTCAGGTGCTTCGGGATCCTATACGAGAAAATCCCCAGATGTACGTTTCAACTGTAGAACACCCAAGACCCCTGGCAGACTACTGGGCTGCGTGGAGATGCCTGCCCGATATTTCACGGTGGGTACTACGGACCATTCGACACGGGTACACTATCCAGTTTCGGAAAGGGCCACCTCCTTTCAGCGGGGTTCTCCCTACGACGGTACGTCCTGGGGACGCCTCAATTTTAGGTCAGGAGATCGTGTCACTCCTAGAGAAAGGGGCTATAGAGGAGATACTCCCCACTCAGATGGAGTCAGGCTTCTACAGCCGGTATTTTGTTGTGCCCAAGAAAGATGGTGGTTTACGTCCGATTTTGGACTTACGTCGTCTAAACCTTGTGCTCAGAGTGAGCAAGTTCAAGATGTTAACAGTAAAGTCCATTCTGTCTCAAGTCCAATCCAGTGATTGGTTTGTGACCATCGATCTAAAGGATGCATACTTTCACATCCAGATCGTCAGGAGGCACAGGAAGTTTCTCAGGTTTACTTTTCGAGGGCAAAGCATACCAATACTGTGTTCTTCCGTTCGGACTAGCTTTGGCTCCTCAAATGTTTACAAAATGCATGGATGCAGCTCTGGCCCCGTTGCGGCTCCAGGGCATCCGAATTTTGAACTACCTGGACGATTGGCTAATACTAGCTCAATCTCAGGATCAGGCACGGATACATCGAGATCTGGTACTCGATCATTTGAGGAGCCTAGGGCTACAGACGAACCTTCAAAAGAGTGTCCTGCTGCCCTGGTGGCAGACAACCTTTTTGGGGGTGGACTTGGACTCTTGCACGATCCGGGCACGGCTGTCTCCCGCTCGTGTGCAGTCAATACGGACCTGTCTAGATCAGTTCAAGACAGGGCGCCGAGTACATGTAGGCCTGTGTCTCAGGCTGTTGGGTCTGATGGCGGCAGCGTCCCCTGTAGTTCAGTTGGGCCTGCTTCACATGCGACCATTTCAGTGGTAGACCAAGAGCCAGAACATTTCACATCACTGTCACCCGCTTCACAGAATTACGGTGACACGCAAAGGCTCTCGTACTCTAAGCCCCTGGATGAGACCCCAGTTCTTTTTGGAAGGAGTCCAGATGAGGACATTGTGTTGCCGCAAAACGGTCACGACGGACGCGTCCCTTACGGGCTGGGGAGCGGTCCATCAAGGACATCCAGTCGGTGGAGTCTGGACAGAGGTACATCGAGACTGGCACATAAACCATTTGGAGATGCTTGCGGTTCTCCTGGCTCTCGAACAGTTCTTACCCCAGCTGAGGGGTTATCATGTGTTGGTCAGGACAGACAACACGGCAGTTGTGTCGTACCTCAATCGTCAAGGGGGATTACGTTCTCGCCCCCTGTGCAGGCTGGCGAGGCATATTCTTCTCTGGGCTCAGACAAAGTTCCTGTCGATCAGAGCAGTCCATATCCCAGGTCGCCTGAACTCAGGAGCGGATCTGCTCTCGAGACAGAGTCTACAGAATGGGGAATGGAGATTGCACCCCCAGGTGGTGGATCTTATATGGCAGAGGTTCGGCCGAGCGAAAGTGGACTTGTTCGCTTCGAGCATGACTACGCACTGCCTGCTTTGGTTTTCCCTGTCTCCCCTGTCACCTCTAGGTCTGGATGCTCTGGCCCATGAATGGCCCAGGACCAGTCTTTATGCTTTTCCCCCAATCCGGTTGCTCCCAGCAGTCCTATTCAGAATACGATCAGAAAGAGAGGAGCACCTGTTGCTGGTGGCCCCGCGGTGGCCCACTCAGTCGTGGTTCTCGGACCTGGTCAGTCTGCTAGCGGGCCCTCAATAACAACACTCACCAACAGCAGAATGCTACTTTTATTACTTTTAAGTCTGATTCCTAGTCAAATTAGAATGATATCTTAGTTTTACCGGCTATATATATAGATTGTGATTGTATTTTCTAAGATATGTCCAGACATGCAGTCTACCAATGACATTAGAGAGACACCACTAGGAACGCCCACAAACGTCTTCACAGTACAGCGTCCTCTAGTGACATAGTCAAGTCAAGTCACCTTTATTTATATAGCACTTTTAACAATACAGATTGTGTCAAAGCAGCTTTACAGTATCAAAATAGGAAAATAGTGTGTCAATGCAAAAAGACAATAGTAAACACTAAATTTTCAGTTAAAGGCCGTTCATCATTGAATTCAGTGATGTCATCGTCCAGCTCAGTTCAGTTTAAATAGTATCTGTGCAATCAAGTCGATATCGCTGGAAATTAAGTGTCCCCAACTAAACAAGCCAGAGGAACCAAAACTCCATCGGTAACAGAATGGAGAAAAATCCTTGGGAGAAACCAGGCTCAGTCGAGGGGCTAGTTCTCCTCCGGCCAGACGAACCAGCAGGTTGAGCCATGCTGCAGCAAAGTTAGATTGTGCAGAGGGCTCATCTGGTTCCATGGTCTTGTCCCGATGACCATCTAGGAGACAAGGTCTTCACTGGGGATATGTCTCTTGGGCTCATCTAGTTGTCCTGGTCTCTGCTGAAATTCAGGGCTGTAGAGGTCATCTCTAAGTGCTGATCCACCATCTGGGCTGGATACGGACTGGATCTGGTGGCTACGGTGACCTCGGAATAAGAAAGAACCAGACTAATATTAGCGTAGATGCCATTCTTATGATGTAACAAGTACATCGTATGTTATTGGAAGTGTTCCCAGTTCCGGTTGACCTAATTAATGCAGCCTAACAATCCTTTAACGGATTTGAGTAATAGAAATGTGCAAGTGTGTTATGTGTAAGCCAGGTTAAAGAGATGGGTCTTTAATCTAGATTTAAACTGACAGAGTGTGTCTCCCTCCCGAACAGTGTTAGGTAGATTATTCCAGAGTTTGGGCGCTAAATAGGAAAAGCATCTGCCACCCGCAGTTGATTTTGATATTCTAGGTATTATCAAATTGCCAGAGTTTTGAGAGCACAGCGGACGTGGAGGACTATAATACGATAAGAGCTTGTTCAAATACTGAGGTGCTAAACCATTCAGGGCTTTATAAGTAATTAGCAGGATTTTAAAATCTATAC